GCTCGCTTGACTGAGCGAGTGACTGAGCCGGTGACTGAGCGAGTGAATGAGCGACTAAGCGAGTGACTGAGTGACTGAGTGACTGAGCGAGTGACTGAGCGAGTGACTGAGTGACTGAGCGAGTGACTGAGTGAGTGACTGAGCGAGAGTTTGAGTGAGTGACTGAGTGAGTGACTGAGTGAGTGACTGAGTGAGTGAATGAGCGACTGAGTGACTGAGCGAGTGAATGAGCGACTGAGTGACTGAGCGAGTGACTGAGTGACTAAGCGGGTGACTGAGCGAGTGACTGAGCGAGTGACTGAGTGAGTGTATGAGTGATTGAGTGAGTGAGTGTATGAGTGACTGAGTGAGTGTATGAATGAGTGAGTGAGTGAGTGGGTGGGTGAGTGACTGAGTGAGTGTATGAGTGAGTGTATGAGTGACTGAGTGAGTGAGTGTATGAGTGACTGAGTGAGTGACTGAGTGAGTGTATGTGTGAGTGTATGAGTGAGTGTATGAGTGAGTGTATGAGTGAGTGAGTGAGTGACTGAGTTAGTGACTGAGTGACTGAGCGAGTGATTGAGTGAGTGACTGAGCGAGTGACTAAGCGAGTGACTGAGCGAGTGACTGAGTGAGTGACTGAGCGAGTGACTGAGTGAGTGACTGAGTGACTGAGTGAGTGACTGAGTGAGTGACTGAGTGACTGAGCGAGTGACTGAGTGAATGACTGAGCGAGTGCCTGAGCGACTGAGCGAGTGACTGAGCGAGTGACTGAACGAGTGACTGAGTGAGTGACTGAGCGAGTGAATGAGTGACTGAGCGAGAGTTTGAGTGAGTGACTGAGTGACTGAGTGACTGAGTGAGTGACTGAGTGAGTGACTGAGTGACTGAGTGAGTGACTGAGTGAGTGACTGAGTGAGTGAGTGAGTGACTGAGTGACTGAGTGAGAGTTTGAGTGAGTGACTGAGCGAGTGAATGAGCGGGTGACTGAGTGACTGAGTGAGTAACTGAGTGAGTGAGTGACTGAGTGACTAAGCGGGTGACTAAGCGAGTGACTGAGTGACTAAGCGGGTGACTAAGCGGGTGTCTAAGCGGGTGTCTAAGCGGGTGACTGAGTGGGTGACTAAGCGGGTGTCTCGCCCCTCCCAGAGGGAGTCTGTGGAGCTGGCCATGCGCCTGCTGGATGAGAGCTCCCTGAGGGGCTGCACCGTCAAAGTGGAGGCCGCTCGCTTGAGTGAGTGACTGAGCGGGTGACTAAGCGAGTGACTGAGTGACTGAGCGAGTGACTGAGTGACTAAGCGGGTGACTCAGCGAGAGACTGAGTGAGTGAATGAGCGACTAAGCGAGTGACTGAGTGACTAAGCGAGTGACTGAGTGACTAAACGGGTGACTAAGCGAGTGACTGAGTGACTAAGCGAGTGACTGAGCGAGTGACTGAGCGAGTGACTGAGCGAGTGAATGAGCGACTAAGCGAGTGACTGAGTGACTAAGCGAGTGACTGAGTGACTAAACGGGTGACTAAGCGAGTGACTGAGCGAGCGAGTGACTGAGTGACTGAGTGAGTGACTGAGTGAGTGACTGAGCGAGTGACTGAGTGACTGAGCGAGTGATTGAGTGAGTGACTGAGCGAGTGACTAAGCGAGTGACTGAGCGAGTGACTGAGTGAGTGACTGAGCGGGTGACTGAGTGACTGAGCGAGTGACTGAGCGGGTGACTGAGTGAGTGAGCGAGTGACTGAGTGAGTGACTGAGCGAGTGACTGAGCGAGTGACTGAGTGAGTGACTGAGCGAGTGACTGAGCGGGTGACTGAGTGACTGAGCGAGTGATTGAGTGAGTGACTGAGCGAGTGACTAAGCGGGTGACTGAGCGAGTGACTGAGTGACTAAGCGGGTGACTGTGCGAATGACTGAGCGAGTGACTGAGCGAGTGTCTGAGTGAGTGAGCGACTGAGCGAGTGAGTGACTGAGCGAGAGACTGAGTGAGTGACTGAGCGAGTGAATGAGCGACTGAGTGAGTGAATGAGCGAGTGACTGAGTGACTAAGCGGGTGACTAAGCGGGTGACTAAGCGGGTGACTCGCCCGCTCCCAGAGGGAGTCTGTGGAGCTGGTCATGCGCCTGCTGGATGAGAGCTCCCTGAGGGGCTGCACCGTCAAAGTGGAGGCCGCTCGCTTGAGTGAGCGAGTGACTGAGCGAGTGACTGAGTGACTGAGCGAGTGACTGAGTGACTGAGCGAGTGACTGAGTGACTGAGTGAGTGTATGAGTGACTGAGTGAGTGAGTGTATGAGTGACTGAGTGAGTGACTGAGTGAGTGTATGAGTGACTGAGTGAGTGTATGAGTGAGTGAGTGGGTGGGTGAGTGACTGAGTGAGTGTATGAGTGAGTGTATGAGTGACTGAGTGAGTGAGTGTATGAGTGACTGAGTGAGTGACTGAGTGAGTGTATGTATGAGTGTATGAGTGAGTGAGTGAGTGACTGAGCGAGTGACTGAGTGAGTGAGTGACTGAGTGACTGAGCGGGTGACTGAGTGACTGAGTGACTGAGCGGGTGACTGAGTGACTGAGTGAGTAACTGAGTGAGTGAGTGACTGAGTGACTAAGCGAGAGTTTGAGTGAGTAACTGAGCGAGTGACTGAGCAAGTGATTAAGCGACTGAGCGAGCGACTGAGTGACTAAACGGGTGACTAAACGGGTGACTAAGCGGGTGACTAAGCGGGTGACTCGCCCCTCCCAGAGGGAGTCTGTGGAGCTGGCCATGCGCCTGCTGGATGAGAGCTCCCTGAGGGGCTGCACCGTCAAAGTGGAGGCCGCTCCCTTGAGTGAGCGAGTGACTAAGCGAGTGACTGAGTGACTAAGCGAGTGACTGAGCGAGTGACTGAGCGAGTGACTGAGCGAGTGAATGAGCGACTAAGCGAGTGACTGAGTGACTAAGCGAGTGACTGAGTGACTAAACGGGTGACTAAGCGAGTGACTGAGCGAGCGAGTGACTGAGTGACTGAGTGAGTGACTGAGCGAGTGACTGAGCGAGTGATTGAGTGAGTGACTGAGCGAGTGACTAAGCGAGTGACTGAGCGAGTGACTGAGTGAGTGACTGAGCGGGTGACTGAGTGACTGAGCGAGTGACTGAGCGGGTGACTGAGTGAGTGAGCGAGTGACTGAGTGAGTGACTGAGCGAGTGACTGAGTGAGTGACTGAGCGAGTGACTGAGCGGGTGACTGAGTGACTGAGCGAGTGATTGCGTGAGTGACTGAGCGAGTGACTGAGCGGGTGACTGAGCGAGTGACTGAGTGACTAAGCGGGTGACTGTGCGAATGACTGAGCGAGTGACTGAGCGAGTGTCTGAGTGAGTGAGCGACTGAGCGAGTGAGTGACTGAGCGAGAGACTGAGTGAGTGACTGAGCGAGTGACTGAGTGACTGAGTGACTGAGCGGGTGTCTAAGCGGGTGACTGAGTGACTAAGCGAGTGACAGAGTGACTAAGCGGGTGACTAAGCGAGTGACAGAGTGACTAAGCGGGTGACTAAGCGGGTGACTCGCCCCTCCCAGAGGGAGTCTGTGCAGCTGGCCATGCGCCTGCTGGATGAGAGCTCCCTGAGGGGCTGCACCGTCAAAGTGGAGGCCGCTCGCTTGACTGAGCGAGTGACTGAGCCGGTGACTGAGCGAGTGAATGAGCGACTAAGCGAGTGACTAAGTGACTAAGCGAGTGACTGAGCGAGTGACTGAGTGACTGAGCGAGTGACTAAGTGACTGAGCGAGTGACTGAGTGACTGAGCGAGTGACTGAGTGAGTGACTGAGCGAGAGTTTGAGTGAGTGACTGAGTGAGTGACTGAGTGAGTGACTGAGTGAGTGAATGAGCGACTGAGTGACTGAGTGACTGAGCGAGTGAATGAGCGACTGAGTGAGTGAATGAGCGAGTGACTGAGTGACTAAACGGGTGTCTAAGCGGGTGACTGAGTGCCTGAGCTAGTGAATGAGCAACTGAGTGACTGAGTGACTGAGCGAGTGAATGAGCGACTGAGTGACTAAGCGAGTGACTGAGTGACTAAGCGGGTGACTAAGCGGGTGACTAAGCGGGTGACTAAGCGGGTGACTCGCCCCTCCCAGAGGGAGTCTGTGGAGCTGGCCATGCGCCTGCTGGATGAGAGCTCCCTGAGGGGCTGCACCGTCAAAGTGGAGGCCGCTCGCTTGAGTGAGCGAGTGACTGAGCGGGTGACTGAGCGAGTGACTGAGCGAGTGACTGAGCGAGTGACTGAGCGAGTGACTGAGTGACTGAGCGGGTGACTGAGCGAGTGTATGAGTGAGTGAGTGGGTGGGTGGGTGAGTGACTGAGTGAGTGAGTGAGTGACTGAGTGAGTGAGTGTATGAGTGAGTGTATGAGTGAGTGAGTGACTGAGTGAGTGTATGAGTGAGTGAGTGAGTGGGTGGGTGAGTGACTGAGTGACTAAGCGAGAGTTTGAGTGAGTAACTGAGTGAGTGAGTGAGTGACTAAGCGAGAGTTTGAGTGAGTAACTGAGCGAGTGACTGAGCAAGTGATTAAGCGACTGAGCGAGCGACTGAGTGACTAAACGGGTGACTAAGCGGGTGACTAAGCGGGTGACTAAGCGGGTGACTCGCCCGCTCCCAGAGGGAGTCTGTGGAGCTGGCCATGCGCCTGCTGGATGAGAGCTCCCTGAGGGGCTGCACCGTCAAAGTGGAGGCCGCTCGCTTGACTGAGCGAGTGACTGAGCGGGTGACTGAGCGAGTGACTGAGCGACTAAGCGAGTGACTGAGCGAGTGACTGAGCGGGTGACTGAGTGACTGAGTGACTGAGTGAGAGTTTGAGTGAGTGACTGAGCGAGTGAATGAGCGGGTGACTGAGTGACTGAGTGAGTAACTGAGTGAGTGAGTGACTGAGTGACTAAGTGGGTGACTAAGCGGGTGACTAAGCGGGTGACTGAGTGACTAAGCGGGTGACTAAGCGGGTGACTGAGTGACTAAACGGGTGACTAAGCGGGTGAGTAAGCGGGTGACTCGCCCCTCCCAGAGGGAGTCTGTGGAGCTGGCCATGCGCCTGCTGGATGAGAGCTCCCTGAGGGGCTGCACCGTCAAAGTGGAGGCCGCTCGCTTTGCCCTCAAGGGCGACTACGACGCTAGCAAGAGACGCAAGCGGAGCAAGGAGGAGCGCAAGCTGCTCCAGCAGCAGAAGAAGTGAGTTCAGCCTCCTCACCAACACCACGCTCACCAACACGCTCACCACTCACCGCCACACTCACCACTCACCAACACACTCACCACTCACCACCACTCACCAACACGCTCACCACCACGCTCACCACTCACCACCACTCACCAACACCCTCACCACCACGACGCTAGCAAGAGACGCAAGCGGAGCAAGGAGGAGCGCAAGCTGCTCCAGCAGCAGAAGAAGTGAGTTCAGCCTCCTCACCAACACCACGCTCACCAACACGCTCACCACTCACCGCCACACTCACCACTCACCAACACACTCACCACTCACCACCACTCACCAACACGCTCACCACCACGCTCACCACTCACCACCACTCACCAACACCCTCACCACCACGACGCTAGCAAGAGACGCAAGCGGAGCAAGGAGGAGCGCAAGCTGCTCCAGCAGCAGAAGAAGTGAGTTCAGCCTCACCAACACGCTCACCAACACGCTCACCACTCACCACACTCACCACTCACCACCACACTCACCACTCACCGCCACGCTCACCACCACGACGCTAGCAAGAGACGCAAGCGGAGCTAGGAGCGCAAGCTCTTCCAGCAGCAGCAGAAGTGAGTTCAGCCTCCTCACCAACACGCTCACCACCACGCTCACCAACACGCTCACCAACACGCTCACCACTCACCAAGCTCACCACCCACCGCCACACTCACCACTCACTACACTCACCACCACGCTCACCACCACACTCACCACCACGCTCACCACTCACCACGCTCACCACCACACTCACCACCACGCTCACTACTCACCACCACGCTCACCACTCACCACCACTCACCAACACGCTCACCACCACGACGCTAGCAAGAGACGCAAGCGGAGCAAGGAGGAGCGCAAGCTGCTCCAGCAGCAGAAGAAGTGAGTTCAGCCTCACCACCAACACGCTCACCACCACACTCACCACTCACCACGCTCACCACTCACCACCACGCTCACCACTCACCACGCTCACCACTCACCACCACGCTCACCACCACGACGCTAGCAAGAGACGCAAGCGGAGCAAGGAGGAGCGCAAGCTGCTCCAGCAGCAGAAGAAGTGAGTTCAGCCTCCTCACCAACACCACGCTCACCAACACGCTCACCACCACGCTCACCAACACGCTCACCAACACGCTCACCACTCACCACGCTCACCACTCACCGCCACGCTCACCACCACGACGCTAGCAAGAGACACAAGCGGAGCAAGGAGGAGCGCAAGCTGCTCCAGCAGCAGAAGAAGTGAGTTCAGCCTCCTCACCAACACCACGCTCACCACTCACCACCACACTCACCACTCACCAACATGCTCACCACTCACCACACTCACCGCCACGCTCACCGCCACGCTCACCACTCACCACCACACTCACCACCACACTCACTGCCACGCTCACCACTCACCACCACACTCACCACTCACCACACTCACTGCCACGCTCACCACTCACCACCACACTCACCACGCTCACCAACACGCTCACCACCACGACGCTAGCAAGAGACGCAAGCGGAGCAAGGAGGAGCGCAAGCTGCTCCAGTAACAGAAGAAGTGAGTTCAGCCTCCTCACCAACACCACGCTCACCAACACGCTCACCAACACGCTCACCACTCACCGCCACACTCACCACTCACCGCCACGCTCACCACCACGACGCTAGCAAGAGACGCAAGCGGAGCAAGGAGGAGCGCAAGCTGCTCCAGCAGCAGAAGAAGTGAGTTCAGCCTCACCAACACGCTCACCAACACGCTCACCACTCACCACTCACCACCACTCACCAACACGCTCACCACCACGCTCACCACTCACCACCACTCACCAACACGCTCACCACCACGACGCTAGCAAGAGACGCAAGCGGAGCAAGGAGGAGCGCAAGCTGCTCCAGCAGCAGAAGAAGTGAGTTCAGCCTCCTCACCAACACCACGCTCACCACTCACCACCACGCTCACCACGCTCACCACGCTCACCACGCTCACCGCCACGCTCACCACTCACCACCATGCTCACCACTCACCGCCACACTCACCACTCGCCACACTCACCACTCACCACGCTCACCAACACGCTCACCACCACAGAGTGCTGGTCGTGATAGTGGTGATAGTGATTGTAGTGATAGTGATTGTAGTGATAGCGATTGTAGTGATAGTGATTGTAGTGATAGTGATTGTAGTGATAGTGATTGTAGTGATAGCGATTGTAGTGATAGTGATTGTAGTGATAGTGATTGTAGTGATAGCGATTGTAGTGATAGTGATTGTAGTGATAGTGATTGTAGTGATAGTGATTGTAGTGATAGTGATTGTAGTGATAGTGATTGTAGTGATAGTGATTGTAGTGATAGCGATTGTAGTGATAGCGATTGTAGTGATAGTGATTGTAGTGATAGCGATTGTAGTGATAGTGATTGTAGTGATAGTGATTGTAGTGATAGTGATTGTAGTGATAGTGATTGTAGTGATAGCGATTGTAGTGATAGTGATTGTAGTGATAGTGATTGTAGTGATAGTGATTGTAGTGATAGCGATTGTAGTGATAGTGATTGTAGTGATAGTGATTGTAGTGATAGTGATTGTAGTGATAGTGATTGTAGTGATAGCGATTGTAGTGATAGTGATTGTAGTGATAGTGATTGTAGTGATAGTGATTGTAGTGATAGTGATTGTAGTGATAGTGATTGTAGTGATAGTGATTGTAGTGATAGCGATTGTAGTGATAGTGATTGTAGTGATAGTGATTGTAGTGATAGCGATTGTAGTGATAGTGATTGTAGTGATAGTGATTGTAGTGATAGTGATTGTAGTGATAGTGATTGTAGTGATAGCGATTGTAGTGATAGTGATTGTAGTGATAGTGATTGTAGTGATAGTGATTGTAGTGATAGTGATTGTAGTGTTAGTGATTGTAGTGATAGTGATTGTAGTGATAGCGATTGTAGTGATAGTGATTGTAGTGATAGTGATTGTAGTGATAGTGGCGATAGTAGTGATAGTGAATGTAGTGATGTAGTGATAGTGGTGATAGTGGTGATAGTGATTGTAGTGATAGTGGTGATAGTAGTGATAGTGAATGTAGTGATAGTGGTGATAGTGGTGATAGTGATAGTGATTGTAGTGATAGTGGTGATAGTAGTGATAGTGAATGTAGTGATAGTGGTGATAGTAGTGATAGTGAATGTAGTGATAGTGGTGATAGTGGTGATAGTGATAGTAGTGATAGTGAATGTAGTGATAGTGGTGATAGTGAATGTAGTGATAGTGGTGATAGTGAATGTAGTGATAGTGGTGATAGTGATTGTAGTGATAGTGGTGATAGTGATTGTAGTGATAGTGATTGTAGTGATAGTGGTGATAGTGATAGTGATTGTAGTGATAGTGGTGATAGTGATTGTGGTGATAGTGGTGATAGTAATTGTAGTGATAGTGGTGATAGTGATTGTAGTGATAGTGATTGTAGTGATAGTGGGGATAGTGATAGTGATTGTAGTGATAGTGGTGATAGTGATTGTGTTGATAGTGATTGTAGTGATAGTGGTGATAGTGATTGTAGTGATAGTGGTGATAGTGATTGTAGTGATAGTGGTGATAGTGATAGTGATTGTAGTGATAGTGGTGATAGTGATTGCAATGATAGTGATTGTAGTGATAGTGATTGTAGTGATAGTGATTGTAGTGATAGTGGTGATAGTGATTGTAGTGATAGTGGTGATAGTGATTGTAGTGATAGTGGTGATAGTGATAGTGATTGTAGTGATAGTGGTGATAGTGATTGCAGTGATAGTGATTGTAGTGATAGTGATTGTGGTGATAGTGATTGTAGTGATAGTGGTGATAGTGATTGCAGTGATAGTGATTGTAGTGATAGTGGTGATAGTGATTGTAGTGATAGTGATTGTAGTGATAGTGGTGATAGTGGTTGTGATAGTGGTTGTGATTGTCATGATAGTGGTAATTGTGCTAGTTAGTGTGCTAGTTTGTGTACTAGTTAGTGTGATAGTGTGATAGTTAATGTGATAGTGTACTAGTTATTGTGATAGTGTACTATTTAGTGTACTAGTTAGTGTGATAGTTAATGTGCTAGTTAGTGTACTAGTTAGTGTGATAGTTAATGTGATAGTGTGATAGTTAGTGTACAAGTTAGTGTGATAGTTAGTGTACTAGTTAGTGCACTAGTTAGTGTACTAGTTAGTGTGATAGTTAGTGTACTAGTTAGTGTACGAGTTAGTGTGATAGTTAGTGTACTAGTTAGTGTGATAGTGTACAAGTTTACGCGTTAGTTGACTAGTTAGTGTACTAGTTAGTGTGATAGTGTACTAGTTAGTGTGATAGTTAGTGTACTAGTTAGTGTGATAGTGTACTAGATAGTTTACTAGTTAGTGTACTAGTTAGTGTGATAGTGTGATAGTTAGTGTACTAGTTAGAGTGATAGTGTACTAGTTAGTGTACTAGTTAGTGTACTAGTTAGTGTGATAGTGTACTAGTTAGTGTACTAGTTAGTGTATTAGTTAGTATACTAGCTAGTGTGACAGTGTACTAGTTAGTGTGAGTGTACTAGTTAGTGTACTAGTTAGTTACTAGTTAGTGTACTAGTTAGTATACTAGTTAGTGTGACAGTGTACTAGTTCGTGTACTAGTTAGTGTACTAGTTAGTGTGATAGTGTACTAGTTAGTGTACTAGTTAGTGTACTATTTAGTGTACTAGTTAGTGTACTAGTTAGTGTGTTAGTGTACTAGTTAGTGTGATAGTGTACTAGTTAGTGTACTAGTTAGTGTACTAGTTAGTGCGATAGTGTACTAGTCAGTTTACTAGTTAGTGTGCTAGTTAGTGTGATAGTGTACTAGTTAGTGTACTAGTTAGTGCACTAGTTAGTGTGACAGTGTACTAGTTAGTGTACTAGTTAGTGTGCTAGTTAGTGTAATAGTGTACTAGTTAGTGTACTAGTTAGTATGATAGTGTACTAGTTAGTGTGTTAGTGTACTAGTTAGTGTGATAGTGTACTAGTGTACTTAGTGTACTAGTTAGTGTACTAGTTAGTATGATAGTGTACTAGTTACTGCACTAGTTAGTGTGATAGTATACTAGTTAGTGTACTAGTTAGTGTGCTAGTTAGTGTGATAGTGTACTAGTTAGTGTACTAGTTAGTGTGCTAGTTAGTGTGATAGTGTACCAGTTAGTGCACTAGTTAGTGTGATGGTGTACTAGTTAGTGTACTAGTTAGTGCACTAGTTAGTATGATAGTGTACTAGTTAGTGTACTAGTTAGTGTGATAGTGTACTAGTTAGTATGATAGTGTACTAGTTAGTGTACTAGTTAGTGTGATAGTGTACTAGTTAGTGTACTAGTTAGTGCACTAGATAGTGTGATAGTGTACTAGTTAGTGTACTAGTTAGTGTACTAGTTAGTGTGATAGTGTACTAGTTAGTGTACTAGTTAGTGTACTAGTTAGTGTGATAGTGTACTGATTAGTGTACTAGTTAGTGTGCTAGTTAGTTACTAGTCAGTGTGCTAGTTAGTGTACTAGTTAGTGTGATAGTGTACTAGTTAGTGTACTAGTTAGTGTGATAGTGTACTAGTTAGTGAAACTAGTTAGTGTACTAGTTAGTATGATAGTGTACTAGTTAGTGTACTAGTTAGTGCGATAGTGTACTAGTTAGTGTACTAGTTAGTGTGATAGTGTACTGGTTAGTGTACTAGTAAGTGTACTAGTTAGTGTACTAGTTATTATACTAGTTAGTGTACTAGTTAGTGTGACAGTGTACTAGTTAGTATGATAGTGTACTAGTTAGTGTACTAGTTAGTGTGATAGTGTACTAGTTAGTGTACTAGTTAGTGCACTAGTTAGTGTGATAGTGTACTAGTTAGTGTACTAGTTAGTGTACTAGTTAGTGTGATAGTGTACTAGTTAGTGTACTCGTTAGTGTACTAGTTAGTGTGATAGTGTACTAATTAGTGTACTAGTTAGTGCACTAGTTAGTTACTAGTCAGTGTGCTAGTGTGATAGTGTACTAGTTAGTGTACTTGTTAGTGTACTAGTTAGTGTGATAGTGTACTAGTTAGTGCACTAGTTAGTGTACTAGTTAGTGTACTAGTTAGTATGATAGTGTACTAGTTAGTGTACTAGTTAGTGTGATAGTGTACTAGTTAGTGTACTAGTTAGTGTGACAGTGTTCTAGTTAGTGTACTAGTTAGTGTACTAGTTAGTGTACTAGTTAGTGTGACAGTGTACTAGTTAGTGTACTAGTTAGTGTGACAGTGTACTAGTTAGTGTACTAGTTAGTGTGACAGTGTACTAGTTAGTGTACTAGTTAGTGTACTAGTTAGTGTGATAGTGTACTAGTTAGTGTACTAGTTAGTGTGATAGTGTACTAGTTAGTGTACTAGTTAGTGCACTAGTTAGTGTGATAGTGTACTAGTTAGTGTACTAGTTAGTGTACTAGTTAGTGTGATAGTGTACTAATTAGTGTACTAGTTAGTGCGCTAGTTAGTTACTAGTCAGTGTGCTAGTGTGATAGTGTACTAGTTAGTGTACTTGTTAGTGTACTAGTTAGTGTGATAGTGTACTAGTTAGTGCACTAGTTAGTGTACTAGTTAGTGTACTAGTTAGTATGATAGTGTACTAGTTAGTGTACTAGTTAGTGTGATAGTGTACTAGTTAGTGTACTAGTTAGTGTGATAGTGTACTAGTTAGTGTACTAGTTAGTGTACTAGTTAGTGTGACAGTGTACTAGTTAGAGTACTAGTTAGTGTGACAGTGTACTAGTTAGTGTACTAGTTAGTGTGACAGTGTACTAGTTAGTGTACTAGTTAGTGTACTAGTTAGTGTGATAGTGTACTAGTTAGTGTACTAGTTAGTGTGACAGTGTACTAGTTATTATACTAGTTAGTGTACTAGTTAGTGTACTAGTGTGCTAGTTAGTGTACTAGTTAGTGTACTAGTGTACTAGTTAGTGTACTACTTAGTGTGCTAGTTAGTGTACTAGTTAGTGTACTAGTTAGTGTGAGTGTACTAGTTAGTGTACTAGTTAGTGTGACAGTGTACTAGTTATTATACTAGTTAGTGTACTAGCGTGCTAGTTAGTGTACTAGTGTACTAGTTAGTGTACTAGTTAGTGTGCTAGTTAGTGTACTAGTTAGTGTACTAGTGTACTAGTTAGTGTGTTAGTCAGTGTGCTAGTTTGTGTGCTAGTTAGTGTACTAGTTAGTGTGATAGTGTACTAGTTAGTGTACTAGTTAGTGTACTAGTTAGTATGATAGTGTACTAGTTAGTGTACTAGTTAGTGTGACAGTGTACTAGTTAGTGTGCTAGTGTACTAGTTAGTGTACTAGTTAGTGTACTAGTTAGTGTGATAGTGTACTAGTTAGTTGGTGTGCTAGTTAGTGTACTAGTTAGTGTGCTAGTTAGTGTGCTAGTTAGTGTGACAGTGTACTAGTTAGTGTGCTAGTTAGTGTGCTCGTTGTGTTTGCAGGCAGCTGGACTGGAAGCCGGAGAGGACCCCGGGAAGTCTGCGCCTGAAACACGAAAGAGTGGTGATCATCCACCACCTGTTCCACCCCAGTGACTTCCAGGTGACTACCACAACAACTACCACAACTACCACTACCACAACAACTACTACCACTACTACTACCACAACTACCACTACCACAACAACTACTACCACTACTACTACCACAACTACCACTACCACAACAACTACTACCACTACTACTACCACAACTACCACAACCACTACTTCCACAGCAACTACTACCACTACCACAACTGGCACCACTACCACAACAACTACCACAACAACTACCACAACTTCCACAACAACTACCACAACTACCACTACTACCACCACTACCACAACAACTACCACCACAACTACCACTATTACTACTACCACCACCACCACCACCACAACTACCACCACCACAACTACCACCACAACTACCACCACAACTACCACAACAACTACCACTAGTACCACACCTACTACCACAACCACCACCACAACTACCACTACTACTAACACCACAACTACCACTACCACTATGATTCCCACAACTACTACCACCACTACTACTACCACTACTACTAGTACTACTACTACCACAACTACCACTACTACTACCACTACTACCACCACAACTACCACTACTACTACTACCACTACTACTACTACCACTACTACTACTACCACTACTACTAGTACTACTACTACCACAACTACCACTACTACTACCACTACTACCACCACAACTACCACTACTACCACCACTACTACCACCACAACTACCACTACTACTACCACAACTACCACTACTACCACTACTACCACAACCACTACCACTACTACCACAACTAACACCACTACTACCACAACCACCACCACAACTACCACAACTACCACCACAACTACTACCACTACTACCACAACTACCACCACAACTACCACTACTACCACAACCACTACCACTACTACCACAACTACCACAACTACCACTACTACTACTACCACTACTACCACAACTACTACAACTACCACCACCACAACTACCACTACTACCACAATCACTACCACAACTACCTCTACTACCACCTTAACAGTGCGGTTAACTGTGGTTACCCCCCTGAGGTTACCCTGAGGTTAACAAAGTGGTTAACAAAGTGGTTAACAAAGTGGTTAACAAAGTGGTTAACAAAGTGGTTAACAAAGAGGTTAACAAGGTGGTTAACAAAGTGGTTAACAAAGTGGTTAACAAAGTGGTTAACAAAGTGGTTAACAAAGAGGTTAACAAAGTGGTTAACAAAGTGGTTAACAAGGTGGTTAACAAAGTGGTTAACAAAGTGGTTGACAAAGAGGTTAACAAAGTGGTTAACAAAGTGGTTAACAAAGTGGTTAACAAGGTGGTTAACAAAGTGGTTAACAAAGTGGTTAACAAAGTGGTTAACAAGGTGGTTAACAAGGTGGTTAACAAAGTGGTTAACAAAGTGGTTAACAAATAGGTTAACAAAGTGGTTAACAAGGTGGTTAACAAAGAGGTTAACAAAGTGGTTAACAAAGTGGTTAACAAAGAGGTTACCCCTGAGGTTAACAAGGTGGTTAACAAAGAGGTTAACAAAGCGGTTAACAAAGTGGTTAACAAAGTGGTTAACAAAGAGGTTAACAAAGTGGTTAACAAAGTGGTTAACAAGGTGGTTAACAAAGTGGTTAACAAAGTGGTTAACAAAGAGGTTAACAAGGTGGTTAACAAAGTGGTTAACAAGGTGGTTAACAAAGTGGTTAACAAGGTGGTTACCCTGAGGTTAACAAGGTGGTTACCCTGAGGTTACCCCTGAGGTTACCCCTGAGGTTAACAAAGTGGTTACCCCTGAGGTTACCCCTGAGGTTACCCCTGAGGTTGACAAGGTGGTTGTGTCACAGGAGGATCCGCTGGTGCTGAATGAGATTTCTCATGATCTGCGCTCCGAAAGTGAAAAGTTTGGCTGTGTCAAGAAAGTCATCCTTTTTGATGTGAGCGTCACTCACCAATCACTCACCAACTCACTCACCAATCACTCACCAATCACTCACCAATCACTCACCAACTCACCAACTCACTCACTCACCCACTCACTCACCAACTCACTCACTCACCCACTCACTCACCAACTCACTCACCAACTCACCAACTCACTCACCAACTCACTCACCAATCACTCACCAATTACTCACTCTCCCACTCACTCACTCACCAACTCATTCACTCACTCACCAATCACTCACCTACTCACTCACCAACTCACTCACCAATCACTCAGTTACTCACCTACTCACTCACCAATCACTCACCAACTCACTCACCAACTCACTCACTCACTCACCAACTCACTCACCAATCACTCACCAATCACTCACTCACTCACTCACCAACTCACCCACTCACTCACCCACTCACTCACCAACTCACTCACCAACTCACTCACCAACTCACCAACTCACTCACTCACCCACTCACTAACTCACTCACCAACTCACTCACCCACTCACTCACTCACCAACTCACCTACTCACTCACCAATCACTCACCAATCACTCACCTACTCACCCACTCACTCTCGCACTCACTCACCAACTCACTCACCCACTCACTCACTCACTCACCAATCACTCACTCACCCACTCACTCACCCACTCACTCACTCACCAACTCACTCACCAATCACTCACCAATCACTCACTCATTCACCAACTCATTCACTCACTCACTAACTCACCAACTCACTCACCTACTCACTCACCCACTCACTCACTCACCAACTCACTCACCTACTCACCGACTCACTCACCAACTCACTCACTTACTCACTCACCTACTCACTCACTCACTCACCTACACACTCACTCACCTACTCACTCACCTACTCACTCACCAACTCACTCACTTACTCACTCACTCACTCACCCACTCACCCACCCACTTACTCACCCACTCACTCACTCACCAACTCACTCACTCACTAACTCACCAACTCACTCACCCACTCACTCACTCACCAACTCACTCACTCACCAACTCACCAACTCACCCACTCACTCACCAACTCACTCACTTACTCACCAACTCACCCACTCACTCACCCACTCACTCACCAACTCACTCACTTACTCACCCACTCACTCACCAACTCACCCACTCACTCACCAACTCACTCACCAACTCACTCACCAACTCACTCACCCACTCACTCACTAACTCACTCACCAACTCACTCACCAACTCACTCACCAACTCACTCACCAACTCACCTACTCACTCACCAACTCACTCACTCACCTACTCACTCACCAATCACTCACCAACTCACTCACTCACCAACTCACTCACCAACTCACTCACCAACTCACTCACCAACTCAGTCACTCACCAACTCACTCACCAATCACTCACCAACTCACCTACTCACTCACCAACTCACTCACAAACTCACTCACCAACTCACTCACCAATCACTCACCAACTCACTCACCAATCACTCACCAACTCACTCACCCACTCACTCACCAACTCACTCACTCACTCACCCAGCAACTCACTCACCAACTCACTCACCAACTCACTCACCAATCACTCACCAAATCACTCACCCACTCACTCACCCACTCACTCACCAACTCACTCACCAATCACTCACTCATCCACTCACTCACCAATCACTCACTCACTAACTCACTCACTCATCAACTCACTCACTTACTCACCAACTCACTCACCAACTCACTCACCAACTCACTCACCAACTCACTCACCTACTCACTCACTCACCCACTCACTCACTCACCAACTCACTCACCAACTCACTCACCAACTCACTCACCTACTCACCCACTCACCCACTTACTCACTCACTTACTCACCCACTCACTCACCCACTCACTCACTCACTCACCCACTCACCCACTCATTCACCCACTCACTCACCCACTCACTCACTCACTTACTCACTCACCAACTCACTCACTCACTCACCTACTCACTCACTCACCCACTCACTCACTCACTCACCAACTCACTCACCAACTCACTCACCAACTCACTCACCAACTCACTCACCTACTCACCCACTCACCCACTCACTCACCAACTCACTCACTTACTCACTCACCCACTCACCCACACACTCACCCACTCACTCACTCACTCACCAACTCACTCACTCACTCACCAACTCACTCACCCACTCACCCACTCACTTACTCACCCACTCACTCACTCACTCACCAACTCACTCACCCACTCACTCACCAACTCACCTACTCACTCACCAACTCACTCACCAACTCAGTCACTCACCTACTCACTCACCAATCATTCACCAATCACTCACCAACTCACTCACTCACTCACCAACTCACTCACCAACTCACTTACCAATCACTCACCAACTCACCTACTCACTCACCAACTCACTCACCAACTCACTCACCAACTCACTCACTCACCAACTCACTCACCAATCACTCACCAACTCACTCACCAATCACTCACCAACTCACTCACCCACTCACTCACCAACTCACTCACTCACCCAGCAACTCACTCACCAACTCACTCACCAACTCACTCACCAATCACTCACCAACTCACTCACCCACTCACTCACCAACTCACTCACCAACTCACTCACCAATCACTCACTCATCCACTCACTCACCAATCACTCACTCACCAACTCACTCACCCACTCACCCACTCACTTACTCACCCACTCACTCACTCACTCACCAACTCACTCACCCACCCACTCACCAACTCACCTACTCACTCACCAACTCACTCACCAACTCAGTCACTCACCTACTCACTCACCAATCATTCACCAATCACTCACCAACTCACTCACTCACTCACCAACTCACTCACCAACTCACTTACCAATCACTCACCAACTCACCTACTCACTCACCAACTCACTCACCAACTCACTCACCAACTCACTCACTCACCAACTCACTCACCAATCACTCACCAACTCACTCACCAATCACTCACCAACTCACTCACCCACTCACTCACCAACTCACTCACTCACCCAGCAACTCACTCACCAACTCACTCACCAACTCACTCACCAATCACTCACCAACTCACTCACCCACTCACTCACCAACTCACTCACCAATCACTCACTCATCCACTCACTCACCAATCACTCACTCACCAACTCACTCACTCATCAACTCACTCACTCACTCACGAACTCACTCACCAACTCACTCACCAACTCACTCACTCACCCACTCACTCACTCACTCACCAACTCACTCACCAACTCACTCACCAACTCACTCACCTACTCACCCACTCACCCACTCACTCACCAACTCACTCACCAACTCACTCACTTACTCACTCACTCACTCACCCACTCACCCACACACTCACCCACTCACTCACTCACCAACTCACTCACTCACTCACCAACTCACTCACCCACTCACCCACCCACTTACTCACCCACTCACCCACTCACTCACTCACCAACTCACTCACTCACTAACTCACCAACTCACTCACCCACTCACTCACTCACCAACTCACTCACTCACCAACTCACCAACTCACCCACTCACTCACTCACCAACTCACTCACTCACTCACCAACTCACTCACCCACTCACCCACCCACTTACTCACCCACTCACTCACTCACTCACCAACTCACTCACTCACTAACTCACCAACTCACTCACTCACCAACTCACCCACTCACTCACCAACTCACCCACTCACCCACTCACTCACCAACTCACTCACTTACTCACCAACTCACCCACTCACTCACCAACTCACTCACTCACCAACTCACTCACTCACCCACTCACCCACCCACTTACTCACTCACTCACTCACCAACTCACTCACTCACTAACTCACCAACTCACTCACTCACCAACTCACCAACTCACCCACTCACTCACCAACTCACTCACTTACTCACCAACTCACCCACTCACTCACCCACTCACTCACTCACTCACCCACTCGTCCCTCACTCACTCACGAACTCTCTCTCCCCGTGTCTCTCTCCCCGTGTCTCACTCTCCGTGTCTCTCTCTCCCCGTGTCTCTCTCTCCTCGTGTCTCTCTCTCCCCGTGTCTCTCTCCCCGTGCCTCTCTCTCCCCGTGTCTCTCTCCCCGTGTCTCACTCTCCGTGTCTCTCCGTGTCTCTCTCTCCCCGTGCCTCTCTCTCCCCGTGTCTCTCTCCCCGTGTCTCACTCTCCGTGTCTCACTCTCCGTGTCTCTCTCTCCCCGTGTCTCTCTCCCCGTGTCTCTCTCCCCGTGTCTCTCTCTCCCCGTGCCTCTCTCTCCCCGTGTCTCTCTCCCCGTGTCTCACTCTCAGTGTCTCACTCTCCGTGTCTCTCTCTCCCCGTGTCTCTCTCCCCGTGTCTCTCTCCCCGTGTCTCTCTCCCCGTGTCTCACTCTCCCCGTGTCTCACTCTCCCCGTGTCTCTCTCCCCGTGTCTCACTCTCCGTGTCTCTCTCCCCGTGTCTCACTCTCCCCGTGTCTCTCTCCCCGTGTCTCTCTCCCCGTGTCTCACTCTCCGTGTCTCACTCTCCGTGTCTCTCTCTCCCCGTGTCTCTCTCCCCGTGTCTCTCTCCCCGTGTCTCTCTCTCCCCGTGCCTCTCTCTCCCCGTGTCTCTCTCCCCGTGTCTCACTCTCCGTGTCTCACTCTCCGTGTCTCTCTCTCCCCGTGTCTCTCTCCCCGTGTCTCTCTCCCCGTGTCTCTCTCCCCGTGTCTCACTCTCCCCGTGTCTCTCTCCCCGTGTCTCTCTCCCCGTGTCTCTCTCCCCGTGTCTCTCTCCCTGTGTCTCACTCCCCGTGTCTCTCTCCCCGTGTCTCTCTCTCCCCGTGTCTCTCTCTCCCCGCGTCTCTCTCTCCCCGTGCCTCTCTCTCCCCGTGTCTCTCTCCCCGTGTCTCACTCTCCGTGTCTCACTCTCCGTGTCTCTCTCTCCCCGTGTCTCTCTCCCCGTGTCTCACTCTCCCCGTGTCTCTCTCCCCGTATCCCCGCGTGTCTCTCTCCCCGTGTCTCTCCGTGTCTCTCTCCCCGTGTCTCTCTCCCCGTGTGTCTCCCCGTGTCTCACTCCCCGTGTCTCTCTCCCCGTGTCTCTCTCTCTCCCCGTGTCTCTCTCTCCCCGTGTCTCTCTCTCTCTCTCCCCGTGTCTCTCTCTCTCTCCGTGTCTCTCTCTCTCCCCGTGTCTCTCTCTCCCCGTGTCTCTCTCCCTGTGTCTCACTCTCCCCGTGTCTCCCCGTGTCTCTCTCTCCCCGTGTCTCTCTCTCCCCGTGTCTCTCTCTCCTCGTGTCTCTCTCTCCCCGTGTCTCTCTCCCCGCGTCTCCTCATGTCTCTCTCTCTCCCTGTCTCTCTCCCCGTGTCTCACTCTCCCCGTGTCTCCCCGTGTCTCTCTCTCCCCGTGTCTCTCTCTCCCCGTGTCTCTCTCTCTCCTCGTGGCTCTCTCTCCCCGTGTCTCTCTCCCCGCGTCTCCTCATGTCTCTCTCTCTCCCTGTCTCTCTCCCTGTGTCTCACTCTCCCCGTGTCTCTCTCTCCCCGTGTCTCTCTCTCGTGTCTCTCTCTCCCCGTGTCTCTCTCCCCGCGTCTCCTCATGTCTCTCTCTCTCCCTGTCTCTCTCCCCGTGTCTCACTCTCCCCGTGTCTCCCCGTGTCTCTCTCTCCCCGTGTCTCTCTCTCCCCGTGTCTCTCTCTCTCCTCGTGGCTCTCTCTCCCCGTGTCTCTCTCCCCGCGTCTCCTCATGTCTCTCTCTCTCCCTGTCTCTCTCCCTGTGTCTCACTCTCCCCGTGTCTCTCTCTCCCCGTGTCTCTCTCTCCTCGTGTCTCTCTCTCCCCGTGTCTCTCTCCCCGCGTCTCCTCATGTCTCTCTCTCTCCCTGTCTCTCTCCCCGTGTCTCACTCTCCCCGTGTCTCCCCGTGTCTCTCTCTCCCCGTGTCTCTCTCTCCCCGTGTCTCTCTCTCTCCTCGTGGCTCTCTCTCCCCGTGTCTCTCTCCCCGCGGCTCCTCATGTCTCTCTCTCTCCCTGTCTCTCTCCCCGTGTCTCACTCTCCCCGTGTCTCCCCGTGTCTCTCTCTCCCCGTGTCTCTCTCTCCCCGTGTCTCTCTCTCTCCTCGTGGCTCTCTCTCCCCGTGTCTCTCTCTCCCCGTGTCTCTCTCTCTCCTCGTGGCTCTCTCTCCCCGTGTCTCTCTCCCCGCGTCTCCTCATGTCTCTCTCTCTCCCTGTCTCTCTCCCTGTGTCTCACTCTCCCCGTGTCTCCCCGTGTCTCTCTCTCCCCGTGTCTCTCTCTCCCCGTGTCTCTCTCTCTCCTCGTGGCTCTCTCTCCCCGTGTCTCTCTCCCCGCGTCTCCTCATGTCTCTCTCTCTCCCTGTCTCTCTCCCTGTGTCTCACTCTCCCCGTGTCCCCGCGTGTCTCTCTCTCCCCGTGTCTCTCTCTCCCCGTGTCTCTCTCTCTCCTCGTGGCTCTCTCTCCCCGTGTCTCTCTCCCCGCGTCTCCTCATGTCTCTCTCTCTCCCTGTCTCTCTCCCTGTGTCTCACTCTCCCCGTGTCTCCCTGTGTCTCTCTCTCCCCGTGTCTCTCTCTCCCCGTGTCTCTCTCCCCGTGTCTCTCTCCCCGTGTCTCTCTCCCCGTGTCTCTCTCCCCGTGTCTCTCTCCCCGTGTCTCTCTCCCCGTGTCTCTCTCCCCCCGTGTCTCTCTCAGAGACACCCGGACGGAGTTGCGTCCGTGTCGTTCCGCGAGGCAGAGGAGGCCGACCGCTGTGTGGCCTCCTTGCACGGCCGCTGGTTCGGTGGGAGGCAGCTCCAGGCAGAGACCTGGGACGGTGTCACAGACTACCAGGTGGGTGGGTGGGTGGGTGAGTGGGTGGGTGGGTGAGTGGGTGGGTTAGTGGGTGGGTGGGTGAGTGGGTGGGTGGGTGAGTGGGTGGGTGAGTGGGTGGGTGGGTGGGAGGCAGCTCCAGGCAGAGACCTGGGACGGTGTCACAGACTACCAGGTGGGTGGGTGGGTGGGTGAGTGGGTGGGTGGGTGGGTGAGTTAGTGGGTGGGTGGGTTGGTTAGTGGGTGGGTGGGTGGGAGGCAGCTCCAGGCAGAGACCTGGGACGGTGTCACAGACTACCAGGTGGGTGGGTGGGTGGATGAGTGGGTGGGTGGGTGGGTGAGTGGGTGGGTGGGTGAGTGGGTTGGTGAGTGGGTGAGTGGGTGGGTGAGTGGGTGAGTGGGTGGGTGGGTGGGTGTGTGGGTGGGTGGGTGAGTGAGTGGGTGAGTGGGTGGGTGAGTGGGTGGGTGAGTGGGTGAGTGGGTGGGTGAGTGGGTGGGTGGGTGGGTGAGTGGGTGGGTGGGTGGGTGAGTGGGTGGGTGGGTGAGTGGGTGGGTGAGTGAGTGAGTGGGTGGGTGGGTGGGTGTGTGGGTGGGTGAGTGGGTGAGTGGGTGGGGGGGTGGGGGAGTGGGTGGGTGGGTGAGTGGGTGAGTGGGTGGGTGAGTGGGTGGGTGAGTGGGTGAGTGGGTGGGTGAGTGGGTGAGTGGGTGGGTGGGTGAGTGAGTGGGTGAGTGGGTGGGTGAGTGGGTGGGTGAGTGGGTGAGTGGGTGGGTGAGTGGGTGGGTGGGTGGGTGGGTGGGTGGGTGAGTGGGTGGGTGGGTGGGTGAGTGGGTGGGTGGGTGAGTGGGTGGGTGAGTGGGTGGATGAGTGGGTGGGTGGGTGGGTGGGTGGATGAGTGGGTGGGTGGGTGAGTGGGTGGGTGGGTGAGTGGGTTGGTGAGTGAGTGAGTGGGTGTGTGAGTGGGTGAGTGGGTGGGTGGGTGGGTGTGTGGGTGGGTGGGTGAGTGAGTGGGTGAGTGGGTGGGTGAGTGGGTGGGTGAGTGGGTGAGTGGGTGGGTGAGTGGGTGGGTGGGTGGGTGAGTGGGTGGGTGGGTGGGTGAGTGGGTGGGTGGGTGAGTGGGTGGGTGAGTGAGTGAGTGGGTGGGTGGGGGGGTGTGTGGGTGGGTGAGTGGGTGAGTGGGTGGGTGGGTGGGGGAGTGGGTGGGTGGGTGAGTGGGTGAGTGGGTGGGTGAGTGGGTGGGTGAGTGGGTGAGTGGGTGGGTGAGTGGGTGAGTGGGTGGGTGGGTGAGTGAGTGGGTGAGTGGGTGGGTGAGTGGGTGGGTGAGTGGGTGAGTGGGTGGGTGAGTGGGTGGGTGGGTGGGTGAGTGGGTGGGTGAGTGGGTGGGTGGGTGGGTGAGTGGGTGGGTGGGTGAGTGGGTGGGTGAGTGGGTGGATGAGTGGGTGGGTGGGTGGGTGGGTGGATGAGTGGGTGGGTGGGTGAGTGGGTGGGTGGGTGAGTGGGTTGGTGAGTGGGTGAGTGGGTGGGTGAGTGGGTGAGTGGGTGGGTGGGTGGGTGTGTGGGTGGGTGGGTGAGTGAGTGGGTGAGTGGGTGGGTGAGTGGGTGGGTGAGTGGGTGAGTGGGTGGGTGAGTGGGTGGGTGAGTGGGTGAGTGGGTGGGTGGGTGGGTGAGTGGGTGGGTGGGTGAGTGGGTGGGTGAGTGAGTGAGTGGGTGGGTGGGTGGGTGTGTGGGTGGGTGAGTGGGTGAGTGGGTGGGTGGGTGGGTGAGTGGGTGGGTGGGTGAGTGGGTGAGTGGGTGGGTGAGTGGGTGGGTGAGTTGGTGAGTGGGTGGGTGAGTGGGTGAGTGGGTGGGTGGGTGAGTGAGTGGGTGAGTGGGTGGGTGAGTGGGTGGGTGAGTGGGTGAGTGGGTGGGTGAGTGGGTGGGTGGGTGGGTGAGTGGGTGGGTGAGTGGGTGGGTGGGTGGGTGAGTGGGTGGGTGGGTGGGTGAGTGGGTGGGTGAGTGGGTGAGTGGGTGGGTGAGTGAGTGAGTGGGTGGGTGAGTGGGTGAGTGGGTGAGTGGGTGGGTGGGTGAGTGAGTGAGTGAGTGGGTGGGTGAGTGGTTGAGTGGGTGAGTGAATGAATGAGTAGGTGAGTGAGTGGGTGGTTGAGTGGGTGAGTGGGTGAGTGGGTGAGTGGGTGGTTGAGTGGGTGAGTGAGTGGGTGGGTGAGTGGGTGGGTGAGTGAGTGAGTGAGTGGGTGGGTGGGTGAGTGAGTGAGTGAGTGGGTGGGTGGGTGAGTGAGTGAGTGGGTGAGTGAGTGGGTGAGTGGTTGAGTGAGTGGGTGAGTGAGTGGGTGGTTGAGTGGGTGTTTGAGTGGGTGAGTGAGTGGGTGGTTGAGTGGGTGAGCGAGTGAGTGGGTGAGCGGGTGAGTGGGTGAGTGGGTGGGTGAGTGACTGAGTGGGTGCGTGAGTGGGTGAGTGAGTGAGTGGGTGAGTGAGTGGGTGTGTGAGTGGGTGAGTGGGTGAGTGGGTGGGTGTGTGAGTGGGTGAGTGGGTGAGTGGGTGGGTGTGTGAGTGGGTGAGTGGGTGAGTGGGTGTGTGAGTGGGTGAGTGGGTGAGTGGGTGGGTGTGTGAGTGGGTGAGTGGGTGAGTGGGTGGGTGTGTGAGTGGGTGAGTGGGTGAGTGGGTGTGTGAGTGGGTGAGTGGGTGAGTGGGTGAGTGGGTGGGTGGGTGGGAGGCAGCTCCAGGCGGAGACCTGGGATGGTGTTACAGACTACCAGGTGGGTGGGTGGGTGGTTGGGTGGTTGAGTGGGTGGTTGAGTGGGTGGGTGGGTGGTTGAGTGGGTTGGTGGGTGAGTGAGTGGGTGGTTGAGTGGTTGAGTGGGTGGGTGGGTGGTTGAATGGGTGGGTGGGTGAGTGGGCGTGTGGGTGGGTGAGTGAGTGGGTGGGTGGGTGGTTGAGTGGGTGGGTGAGTGAGTGAGTGGGTGGGTGAGTGAGTGAGTGGGTGGGTGGTTGAGTGAGTGTGTGGGTGAGTGGGTGAGTGGGTGAGTGGTTGAGTGGGTGGGTGGGCGGGTGAGTGGGTGGGTGGGTGGTTGAGTGGGTGAGTGGTTGAGTTGGTGGTTGAGTGGGTGAGTGGTTGAGTTGGTGGTTGAGTGGGTGAGTGGGTGGTTGAGTGGGTGGGTGGGTGGGTGGGCGGGTTGAGTGGGTGGGTGGTTGAGTGGGTGGTGTTGATGATGTTAGTAGTGATGTTGTTGTTGGTGTTGTCCACGTTGTTGTTGACGTTGTTGTTGACGCTGTTGTTGTTGACGCTGTTGATGTTGTTGTTGATGTTGTTGTTGATGTTGTTGATTTTGTTGTTGATGTTGTTGACGCTGTTGTTGTTGATGTTGTTGATGTTGTTTTTGACGTTGTTGATGTTGTTGTTGTTGACGTTGTTGTTGTTGATGTTGTTGTTGTTGATGTTGTTGTTGTTGATGTTGTTGTTGTTGATGTTGTTGTTGATGTTGTTGATGTTGTTGTTGATGTTGTTTTGTTGTTTTGTTGTTGATGTTGTTGATGTTGATGATGTTGTTGTTTATGATGTTGTTGTTTTGTTGTTGATGTTGACGTTGTTGTTGTTGATGTTGTTGATGATGTTGTTGTTGTTGTTGATGTTGTTGTTGATGTTGTTTTGTTGTTGTTTTGTTGTTGATGTTGTTGTTGACGTTGTTGTTGTTGATGTTGATGATGTTGTTGTTGTTGATGATGTTGTTGTTGTTGTTGTTGATGTTGTAGTTGTTGTTGTTTTGTTGTTGACGTTGTTGACGTTGTTGATGTTGATGATGTTGTTGATGTTCTTGTTGATGTTGACGTTGTTAACGTTGTTGTTGATGTTGTTGTTGATGTTGTTGTTGATGTTGTTGTTGTTGATGTTGTTGTTGATGTTGTTGTTGTTGTTGTTGTTGTTGTTGATGTTGTTGTTGTTGTTGATGTTGTTGTTGATGTTGTTGTTGTTGATGTTGTTGTTGATGTTGTTGTTGTTGATGTTGTTGTTGACGTTGTTGTTGATGTTGTTGTTGATGTTGTTGACATTGTTGTTGATGTTGTTGTTGTTGATGTTGTTGTTGACGTTGTTGTTGACGTTGTTGTTGATGTTTTGTTGTTGACGTTCCAGGTGGAGGAGACGAGCCGGGAGCGTGACGAGCGAATCAAGGGCTGGGAGGGCTTCCTCGGCGCCGACGGATCGACCAATCAGAGCCGGCCTCCCGAGGCGCCCGCCACCCCCGCGGCCAATCGGAGCGAAGGATCCCCGGCCCCGCCCGCCACCCCCGCGGCCAATCGGAGCGAAGGATCCCCGGCCCCGCCCGCCACCCCCGCGGCCAATCGGAGCGAAGGATCCCCGGCCCCGCCCGCCACCCCCGCGGCCAATCGGAGCGAAGGATCCCCGGCCCCGCCCGCCACCTCCGCGGCCAATCGGAGCGAAGGATCCCTCGCGGAGGCAGTCGGCCCGCCAGCCAATCGGAAGGCGGATTGTTAAACTGAATAAATAAGCGCGGCGTCGGCCAATCGGTAATCGACAACTAACAAACAGCAGTTTTTACTTTGGACCTTTCGGTAAAGCCACGTCGATAGAAAATACAAATAAAAATGTGATTAAAAATTAAATTAAAAAAATTACAAATTAAATTGAAAATTCAATATCAATTTGATTGGAACTAAAATTTAAATTAAAAATAAACTCACAAATTAAAAGTAAAGCAAAATGCACGTTTAATTATAACTAAAAAGATACTTAAAAAGACAACGATAAATCTAATAAAATTTCGCGTGAAATTTGAAATAAAATTCGAAGAAAATTAGAAATTAAATTGAAAAATGAATTTTTTTATTGCAGCTAAAAATTTAATTAAAAAGGCAGTAAAATAAACATTAAATAAATTTTAAAATAAAATAATAAATTACAGAGGAAAAAATATCGTTAAAAAATAAAACGATAAATCAGGTCAAAATTAAGAATAAAATTTATAATAAAATAAAATAAATAACAAAGAAAAGTTAAATAACCATTTAATTGCAACTAAAAATATCGTTAAAAAAAGACAACGATAAATCAAGTAAAACTACGCGTGAAATTTGAAAGAAAATTCAAAGAAAATTAGAAATTAAATTGAAAAATAAATTTTATTGCAGCTAAAAATAAAATAAAAAAGGACAAATAAACATAAAAAATAAAATTTAAAATAAAATAATAAATTACAAAGAAAAGTTAAATATCGCCAATAAATGATAAAACGATAAATCGGGTAAAAATTAAAAATAAAATTTAAAATAAAATTTTAAATTAAATTTAAAATTAAATTAAAAATAAAATTTTAAATAAAATTAGAAATAAAATTAGAAATAAAATTTAAAATTAAATTTAAAATAAAATTAGAAATAAAATTTAAAATAAAATTAGAAATAAAATTAGAAATAAAATTAAAAATAAAATTTAAAATAAAATTTAAAATAAAATTAGAAATAAAATTAGAAATAAAATTTAAAATAAAATTAAAAATAAAATTTAAAATAAAATTTAAAATCAACCCCCCTCCACGACCTTTCGATCGCAACGCAAGCGGTCTCCGTCAGGCGGAGAGAATAAATAAATAAATAGTTAAATAGATAAATAAATAAATAGCCGTGCCTGCTCTTTGCTTTTTTACTTTAAATTATTTTTTAATTTTCCAAAGCCTACGTCGCTTTACCCGAAGAAGCCAAAAAATTATCGGCAGCTCCCGCCAGGGGCCAATCGGATTCGAGCGGCGTCGTCGCGACGGGCAGAGCCGTCGACCAATCGGAGCCGGGGTTGTTGCTGGCGCGAGCGCCAACGCCGGGCGGGCCAATGGGAGAGCGCCGGGCGGGCTCGCGAGCGTGAGGGCCGAGCGACGGCCAATGAGCATCCAGCTTCTGACGGCGTCGGGGGTCGTCCCAGCCAATGGGAGTGGAGGGGGGCGGCGGGGGGGGGAGGGGAGACTGTGGTGTTGTGAGGCTGCTGCGTGTCGATTGGCTGTTGTGTTGCGTGAGGCTGCTGCGTGTCGATTGGCTGTTGTGTTGTGAAGCTGCTGCGTGGTGATTGGCTGTACGGGCTGCGTGTCGATTGGCTGTTGTGTTGTGAAGCTGCTGCGTGGTGATTGGCTGTTGTGTTGTGAGGCTGCTGCGTGTCGATTGGCTGTTGTGTTGTGTGAGGCTGCTGTGTGTTGATTGGCTGTTGTGTTGTGAAGCTGCTGCGTGTCGATTGGCTGTTGTGTTGTGAAGCTGCTGCGTGGTGATTGGCTGTACGGGCTGCGTGTCGATTGGCTGTTGTGTTGTGAGGCTGCTGCGTGTCGATTGGCTGTTGTGTTGCGTGAAGCTGCTGCGTGGTGATTGGCTGTTGTGTTGCGTGAGGCTGCTGTGTGTTGATTGGCTGTTGTTATGTTGATTGGCTGTTGTTATGTTGATTGGCTGTTGTGTTGTGAGGCTGCTGCGTGTTGATTGGCTGTTGTGTTGCGTGAGGCTGCTGTGTTTTGATTGGCTGTTATGTTGATTGGGTGTTGTTTGTTAACCGTGAGGCTGCTGTTTGTTTACCGTGAGGCTGTTGTTGTGCAGCTGTGTAGAACTTCTCCCATGTCGCCTGTAAATACAGCATGGCGGTCTTATTATCTTGTGCTGTAGTGTGCCATACGTGGTTACTCACAATCCTCAATTTATACACCCACGTCTGTGTGTGTGTGTGTCTTTGTGTGTGTTTGTGTGTGTGTGTGTTTGTCTGTGTGTGTGTGTCTTTGTGTGTGTTTGTCTGTGTGTGTGTTTGTGTGTGTTTGTCTATGTCTGTGTGTGTGTGTCTTTGTGTGTGTTTGTCTATGTCTGTCTGTGTGTGTGTGTGTCTTTGTGTGTGTTTGTCTATGTCTGTGTGTGTGTGTGTCTTTGTGTGTGTTTGTCTATGTCTGTGTGTGTGTGTGTCTTTGTGTGTCTTTGTGTGTGTTTGTCTATGTCTGTGTGTGTGTGTAGCGATAGTGTAGTGGTTAGCGCTACGCTGTGCTATGAACCTGGCGACCCGGGTTCGATTCCCGCTCACGGCCAACACCAGTGACGATCATCTGAACCGGTCCCGGGCCTCCCCTAGGTCGACTCAGCCTCAAATGAGTACCTGGTGCGGTGTGTAGACATTGCCACTAGGGAGACAAAGGCGGTCGGGCGTGGTGCTGGCCACCCACCCCCTCGTGTACCGTTCCGGCCTTCATAGGTGCTCGCTAACAGCACTTGCCCCTACAGTCTGTTAAGGCTATACGGGGGATCTTTGTCTTTTGTGTGCAAAACAACCCCCTACCTCCTCGCGGTGCCGGACGGGCAACTCTGTCGTGGACAGTGCTGTGGGGGGATGGCCAATTTTGATTGGCTCCTCCCCTCATGGCGTCTGTGTCCACCACAGTGGCTAAACGGGGGCTCTGGACGGGTGCGAGGGGCTGGTAACCCCTCCGCCTTCAATTAATTACCACGAAACCACGAGTTAAACTGAAATATGTAACTAATAAGCTTGTGCCGGAGGCCCCGGGGGGGCCAGGCGTCTATGACGTCTCCTGGCCAAACCCCAATTGGCGGAGCCAGGAGATTGAATACCTACCCTCGGGGCTCCTCCAGAAACAACGAAAAGCCACTACGGGTGGCCATGTGGAATGTTCGAACGCTCACTGCGGAGGAGAGGCTGCCACTTCTCTGTCGGGAGCTGGACCGGTACCGCCTGGATCTCTGTGGCATTCAGGAGGTCCGGTGGACCGGTTCTGGCTCCTGCCACCATGAGGGGTGGACAGTCCTCTACTCGGGGCAGCAGACTGCCAAACAACAGGGTGTGGCTCTTCTTTTGAACAAAAGAATGAAGGGGGCGTGGGAGCGTGGCGGTGAGGTGTGGGAAGCTGTAAGCCCCAGGCTACTTTGGGCTCGCCTTCCCATCAACCGGAGGCGAGGAATGGTGGTCATGGTTACTTATGCCCCCACCGAAGATGAACATCCGTGGAGGGATGCAGGCAAAGCCAATGAGTCAGATGCCTTCTATGACCTCCTGTCACAGGTGCTGGCTAAAGTGGCCCCTCGGGATAGTCATCATGTTGGGTGACTTCAATGCCCAAGTTGGTCATGATACTGGCACCTGGTCTGGAGTGATTGGAGGGCATGGGCCAGATCAGCTCAATAACAACGGTAGGAGGCTGCTAGATTTTTGTACAGCCCATGGGCTTGTAATTACCAACACGCTGTTCCGGCATCGGCGCATCCACACAACATCATGGATGCATGCCGGGTCCAAGCAAGAACATCTGCTGGACTACATAGTGACGGAAAAGCGGATGCGAGCCCATTTCCTTGACACCAGGATCTACCGTGGAGCTGATCTGCCCTCTGACCATCGACTAGTCATCTGTAAGATGCGCCTGCCATTCTTCCACTCCGGTGGTGGGTGTACACCCAGGACCCCATTCCAACCTAAAGTGGCCTGGTCTCGGTTATCTGATGAAAGTTGCAAGCGAGGATTTCATCATCGCTTGCGGCTGGGATTGGCATCGTCCCCGACTCCTCCTGATGTCGAGGGTAAATGGGCGAGGTTTAGGACTGTGACTCATGCAGCTGCAATGGCTGCTGTGGGTACGCGGTCCAGACCTCCCCAGAGACCCTGGCTGACAGAGGAGGTGTTCAGGATGGTTGAGAAAAAGCGACAGGCCCGCTGTCATCGGCTACAGCATCCCACGTCAGAGAATGAGGAGGCTTACCGCAGCCTTCGCTCGGAGGTTCGGAGAGCCGAGAGGCGCTGCAAGGATGGGTGGTGGTCACGGGTTGCTGAGGAGATGGAGTCTGCCTCAGTGGCCCGTGATCACAAATCTCTATTTAACTCAATCAAAAAAGTAATCTGCAGCGCCACACCTATTACCATCAGGGGAAAAAACGGTGACCCAATCTCCAACCCCCAGGAACAGGTTTGCAGATTTGCTGAGCATTTCTGAGGTCCTGGGGGAGGGAAAATCCCTCAGCCAGGAAAACATCGTGGCACAAAGTGAGGATGACCCTGCTGAGGCTGCGGTGCCTCAAATATTGGAAGAAGTCACCCCCTGTGAGTGGCTGGCTGAAGTGCCATCTGCTGAGGAAGTACTGAAGGCGATCCAGAGTCTGAGACCAGGAAAGGCAGCGGGCAGAGATGATCTCCCAAGCGAAATGCTGAAGGAGGGTGGCGTTTGTGCACAGACTGCCCTATATGACATCATAACAACAGTCTGGACCACTGGACGGGTTCCGCAGGATTGGAAGGATGCCCTGGTGGTCCCCCTTTTTAAGAAGGGCAGTCCCCCTTTTTAAGAAGGGGGACAGCACAGACTGTAACAACTACAGGGGCATCTCACTCCTCAGTGTGCCGGGAAAGGTCCTGGCAAGGATTATTCAACAGCACCTTGCCAGGCACGCTGAGGAGAGGCTTGCGGAGCCCCACTGCGGTTTCAGGAAAGGGCGGTCCTGCACAGATGCCATATTTTCTGTCCGTCTGCTACAGCAGAGGTGTAGGGAATCCCAACAAGACCTACATCTCTGCTTTATTGACCTGGTCAAGGCCTATGATACCATCAGTAGGCCTGGGCTCTGGGTTGTTCTTCGTGCTTTTGGAGTACCTGACCCTCTGCTCACCATCATTAAGGACCTTCATGATGGTGAGCGGGCCCGGGTAAAACTACATGGCCGGGAGTCAGAGCCATTCCCTGTTAGCCTTCAATAGCTGTACCGGGGCAATCTCCATATGGTACAGATATAATGGGAGGCTGATCGACGCCCGGGTGCGGTCAAGGGATGGCTCCCTATTGCTCAACCGCGTTATGTATGCTGATGATTTGGTAATAGCTGCTCAGTCAGAGGAGGAGTTGGAGACGCTGCTGCTGAGACTGGAGCGTGCCACTAAGAGGTGGGGCCTTACCATCAGCCCCACCAAAACTAAGCACCTGCCTGGGTATTTTGTACCATCGGACACTCCACCCCCACAACTCCCAATCGGTGATGGGGCAGTTGTGGAGAGAGTGGAGAGTTTCCCATACCTGGGCAGTGTGCTTATGACTGGCTCCAGTTTAACAGCAGAGGTCTCACTCCGAATCAGTCGAGCGGCAATATCTTTTCATCGGTTGCGTAACGCTG